CTAGCTAGCTAGATATTACAGCTAGCTAGCTAGCTAGCTAGCTAGCGGGGTAGATATGAAGCAAAGTCCCTTCCTCTAGATAGCTGGGGAGCAGGGCGCTGCGTTGCAGTTGACTGTTGGCGTGAAGCCAGCTAGCTAGCTAACTGGCTAGCTAGCTAACCGGCTAGCTAGCTAGCTAGCTAGCTAGCTAGCTAGCTAGCTAGCTGGAAAGCTGACTGGCTAGCTCGCGGCGTAGCTCGCTGGCTGGCTAGCTCTCCAGCTAGCCGCGTGGTTGTCCAGCTCTCTAGCAACCTTGCTGACCAGCTAGCTAGCTAGCCAGATAGCTAGCTAGCTAGATAGCTAGCTAGCTAGCTAGCTAGCTCTCAGTGTAATATAGCTAGCTCTTTAGCTATCTATCTAGCACTTTAGCTGGCTAGCTAGCTAGCTCTTTAGCTAGCTCTCTAGCTAGCTCTCTAGCTAGCTGTTTAGCTCGCTCACTCTTCAGCTAGCTAGCTAGCTATGCGAATGGCATCCAGCCAGCAAAGAGCCTGGATAGGTTGTGGGGGTTTTGTGCTGTGTTAAGAAGACGCTCGACGTAGGCAGGCACCGAGAGGGGGGCCTCCCCTTCTCTATCAAAACCCTGCAGCTTGCTCTGCACCTGCAGCAAAACCCTAAACCCTAAACCCTAAACCCTAAACCCTAAACCCTAGACCCTAGAAGATACACGAACAACCAGCAACCCGCTACTCTCCCAGTGAGGGATTAGGGTTTAGGGTTTAGGGTTTTAGGTTGTCGGTTCAAGCCTGACTCTTGCAGCCTTCAGCTTCACTAGCTCTAGGGTTTAGGGTTTAGGGTTTAGGGTTTAGGAATTAGGGTTTAGGGTTTAGGAATTAGGGTTTAGGGTTTAGGGTTTAGGGTTTAGGGTTTACCTTAAGGATGGCTTTCATTGCCATTTTGTTGCCCTCGAGAGTAGACACGCCTTGCACGTCTCCTGCATCGCCTCAAACCCTAAACCCTAAACCCTAAACCCTAAACCCTAAACCCTAAACCCTAGACCCTAAACCCTCGACGCTAGGTGTTGTATCTATCTGAGAAATTGAAGTGTGGATTGCTGCGGTGTATTTTATAGAGTATTTAGGGTTTAGGGTTTAGGGTTTAGGGTTTAGGGTTTATGTGGTGTATGTGCAACGACCTGACCTCTAATTCTTTGTTGTTGCTGTTGCTGCATCACCCCCTGCTGCTGCTGCTGCAGCAGCATCTGCTGCTGCTGCTGCTGCTGCTGCTGCTGCAGCTGGTGTTTGTGTGTTTTATGTGGTTTGGTCCACGAGNCTGCTGCTGCTGCTGCTGCTGCTGCTGCTGCAGCTGGTGTTTGTGTGTTTTATGTGGTTTGGTCCACGAGTAAAGGGGGTCTAGCAGCAGCACCTGCAGCACAGCAGCAACGAGTGTAGCGTTCTGCCGCAGCAGCAGCAGCACAGCGCAGCAGCAGCTTTTGAAGGGGCCCCCAACCCCAAGGGCCCCCAACCCATCAACTATATCTCGCGTAAGTCTAAAGGGTACAGTTTCAGGTATAGGTAGAAGGGCCCCCGCGTCAAACAAAACCCCGAAATCGAGGTGTACATACACCCCAGAATCCCTATCAATTAATATATTATTTAGGTGTCTATCCCCTAAACCTATTATAAAACCAGATATAGATGCTGCTGCTACTGCTGCTGTATATATACGACGCTTCTGCTGCCAGCTGCTGCTGCTGCTGCTGAACTCCAAAAAAAAATAAGATAACACGGGACGAAAATTCATACATATCTCTTTGTATGTTTCTAGTAAACGCTGCTGCAGCAACACACACTGGTTGCTGCTGCTTGCTGCTCCTCCTGCTGCTGCTGCTCCTGCTGCTGCTGCTGCTGCTGGTTCATCTTTACATGCACCACCTGCAGCAGCTGCTGCTGCTGCTGCAGCAGCAGGTTCTTCGGGGCGGTCGTGATGCTGATCCT